CTTATCAACATGGTTTCATAGAACGTTCAACAATCTAAAAGACGCATTACAGCTAAGACATCCATTCGACGAGGATGATCTTACAACTTTGTTTAGAGGGAATAAAAATCGTTTAGACTCCGATTGAAAAACTCCATCAATATAACAACTAAGAAAGAAATCACATGCAATGAATATTCCTTCCTCTACGTCAATAAAAATCTGACTGCTATTAATAGAGTTGTTCAAACGATACACTAAAGTTCAGTGCTACTAATGAACCTGAAGATCAGATCATCGAACTGAGTACTGTAATACATTTTTCATTTATCTGATTATGCTGAGGATTGTACCGCAACGGAATGCGTCGCAAATAAATCGTTCAACATCTTATGTGCTTCGAATCATGGATTAAAAGGAACTTTGAAATTATCAGTCGGACATAAAATCTAATGGCGAATCAACAGCGAATTAAACACTAGTATGATACCTTTTTCATCTCTGTCAAAGTAGTGATAGATAACAGCAAAACAATGTTTTTATGCATATATCTTTTTTGTGTATATGAATCTAAACCCCAAACGGTGGTTATAAGGCGTCGAATCATATTCAAGACAGCAGACAATCAAGAAACTGAAGTTCATACGTTGGACGAAATCAAAGCATAACCAAGTCAATGCGCTTACTATTTCATTGTCGTGACACTCAAAGACTGCGACACCTGCCCATAGGCACCCGAAAGAACCGCATGATTTGCCATGTCATGGCCTGTAATGACCTCGTTGAAAGCGTTTCTCGGATCTGTGCGCCGGTTTGTCATAACGGCAGTAATGGTGCATGACCGGCGTAAAAAACGCTATTGTGTAGTGCAGCTACATCAGCGTCAGTGTGGCTTGAGATGTCAGTAGCTGACAGTAAAAGAAATATCACATTGAAACCGCAAAATGTACGTTCTTCACCGACTTACAACTTAAACAAAGCAAGGCAAATACAAACGGACCGATTATTACTGTACGTGTGATGCATAGCAAGCAATATTTCAGTTCATTAACATACCCGAGCTGCTGCGCTGACCTTCGATGACCTTACCGAACATCTCTATTGCATGATGCTATCACTTTACGGGACGAGTTGTTGGTCACATGGTGGAATCAGATAAGTCTTGAATGTTTACTGATACTGTTCCAGTTGATTAAAACCTCATCCTGATGATAACTACGATATACAGTTTTCAGGGTCTCGTCGGTTACTCTTCTCATATATCGATGAATAAGGCGACTCATGGCTATCGCAAGATAATTGCAAGTAACCAGGAGTCTGATGTTATTAAGAATATTCAGGCATATGCTTTAGTCTTCCTTCTGAGGAGAAAAGCGAAAGAAACTGAAAGTGAAGCTTTGTTTAGAACACCCAGCGACGAACTTTTTATAAATATCCTCGGTAGAATCTAAAATATGGATTTCATCTTCATCAGGTCGTTGTCTACTTTTTATACCGTCATAACTAATGCGTCATGCGTATCGACTATATATATCAATTGACCTGAATTACGTAACTTACGTTTGATGAATGAATCTGAGAAGCATTGGAAAAAGTCAAATCTGTTGGGAAAGTTAAACGAACTTTCTGTCGATCAACATATAATTCTGTGGTTAGCCATCTGTTTTCCTAAACGACATCAGTTTTTTAAAGTGAACGGCTAGAAGTCTGGCAAGATGAATGGCCAGTCATGTTGGTATCCTTTAACCCTGCGGTCTCTCGCCTTTCCCTTCTAACGTATTTACGATGGTGGCACATTTAAAGCCCGGTTACCATACATGCAGTAAGCATATGACTCAGTTATAGAAGAATTTATGAGGTCCTCCGAGAACTGAGGCGCCTACAGGAATGCCATTCTTACCGCATGTTATTTCCCTTCTTCTAAAGAAGTGAAACTCAACCTGTTCAAAAGGGATGAACGGATTTGTTACGAGAAGCAGTAATTCGCAATCACTACTCGACCTTTCAAATCACAGTCATAGCACTACGACAGTACAAGTATACAGATGGTAAAACGCGCTAAGCATAAAGCAGTCCTCTTGTCCACCGAGTTTACTTGACATGGACAGGCGGTTGCAAGCTTTACCCTAGTGCATGTCGCACCGATGTACACGCGTGGCGTTGGTGTCGTTTTCTTTGAACTACATTCTCATGATTTCGAGGTGATCCACATGTTATGGAAAATTATGTGGAGGGTGAGTGAATTCCAGTTAAATGATCTGGTCCTTAAAATGATCTAATCACCGGTCTAAACAGCGTGATAATGGGAAACAACATTCGCAACAATGCCACGCACAACTTAAATCACTTCTCTGTGTGCCATCGCGAAATACATTAACAAGGTCGAGGGCAGGTCTTTTCCAAAAGATGACCATTCCATCGTCCTCTCGCACTCTTCGAGGTCCGAAGCCGTTAAGATGAGCTGTTTAACTTTCGAACCACATGCTGTGTGAACTTCCTCCGGTCATGACAGGAATGCAGACTTTGACAGTGCTGACGTTTCAAATGGCAGTCGATGCATGTTTGCCCGTATTATTAGGCTGAAGTCCACGAAGTATTTTACTCGAAAGTGCAGCAGGGTTAGAATTCTGTTTAACTATGCTCAATATTGTAAAGTTTGTCATGTACGTTTGTCAAATTTGATGCGTGATATTTTCGCTCCTTTCATCGCAAAGCTGCATTTTTCGTTATATTGAGTTGTGACACTTCACCGGTTTTGCGAAATTTTTATTTTCTGTCTTTAGTGTATTCAGGTGTCATTTAGGTTCTGTTTATTTTGTTTTGCGTCTTTCATGCGGAAAAACAGAATTTACCAGTGATTCCATTGAAGAGGCAGAAAATTCTTTCACTCATGCGTTCAACAGCGAAAAATCCGTTATCGCAGTAGTTGTTCCAACCGCTTTGAAAGTAGGTCTTTGGAAGCTGTGCCTCATCAGTCTTCATGCATTCGCACTAGAAGGTTAATGACAAGCAATGGGACAACGAAATAATCCGCTGGCGGAAGTGTCTAGCCTGTGCACAATGAGTCTGACAAGGTGGACTGCGGAAGGTGTCACAGACTCAACGTTTTGTTTACCATACGTCATGATCGAAGGTCAAATGCCTCGCGTCCGGAGCTGTATTTATGGTTGTGTCATCAACGCAAACAGTATTACTGTCATGTTTGCGTTCAAGGCCACCGCGACAGCTTTCGATTATTGTGCAGCGCAATCGTGTTATGGACGAGAAACTTCTTCGTAAACAATCGTCTGGCCTTCGGCTATTTAGCTGATGTGTCTGTAAACCGACAAGAGTAGAGAAGTCTCTGAAGGTCGAATTATAACGGCCTGTTTGCAGCTAGAATTCCTTCGATATACAGAAGTGCCAGGTAAGCAACAATACAACTTTAAAACGAGATCATCCGCTTCAACTTACGTAGGCCCAGTCGTTTTCGGAAACAATTGGCAAAACAAACAATGCTCTACAGAGTAGTACTCTGCGGTCGGTACTCATAGCCGTCATATCGCCACATATTAAGCAGTATAAACAGTCACTGATCAAACCAGCGCAGTACTTGTGTGAACGAATGCGCATTGGCGAATTTCGACGTGCCATCAAAAATCTCCGTGTAAGCCAGAGTAGCTTAATGATAATAGCCGAAATGCCTGTTGAGATATCCGGTGTCAAGACGAAAGACATCACAGACGACAGTAACCTTAAGCGACAGTGACCACTTACCGAGGATCCACTCAAAGTCTGAGCCATACACCGATTCGTCGAGAAAGCACGGCGATGCACTCGGAGTCGGGAACGACGTGAACTTTGAGGCAGTCGGTTGAAGGCTCATTCGACCAGCGAAAGCCGCGGATATCAACAGTTAAGTAGGCAGAGATTTTGGCTAACTATGCGTCTGATGGCGAGGCAAGAAAACTATGCTGCCGTCCGCGAGAGACGAAGACCTGCTCAACGGCGCATGTCTGACCTCATCGGTTGCAGAAATAGGCCGGACGCCGGCCGGCACCGAGCGAGCGGCATTTACCACCCCGATGCAACCGCTCGTGGCCAAGGTCGTCGCCGGCTGCGACGCGGTCGGTCGCTTGACGGTCGTTGCTCGGACTAACACGCAGTGCCGCCCGTCGCCCGCCGCTGTAACACCATCCGACGTACCGCCTGGTACCCGGCGCCCGCACTTATCCGTGCCACTCTGCACAACCTGCCTGTAGATGCGGTTTTTCTATCGAGGTTCCGAGGTGGCGCTGCACTCGCTGCTGCAGTTCACTTTTGAGGACAAAAACAATTAGGGTAATGAATGTCATACATATCCGTTACGTCACATAACTGGCCCTGTGGAACGACGAAAATATTTACGACGACGACAGCGACAGGTCAGAGACAGGATGGAAAATATTGCATAACAAACTGCCAGTTTCAATCATTGCTGCTTTTCCACACTGTTGGCTCATCGGCAGGTACTCAGATCAGTCCAGTTAGTTCCACTGCACAACAAAAGGATTTCATATATCGTTTCTTTTCGACAATAATACATTAGTTCTTCTGTCTCATGTGCCCTCAAGCTCTGTTTGTTTCAATCAAATGCCAAGGTTCGAATCCGGTACCACGGATGGCTGGTCTGCCAATAGGTCATTTACCAACAGTTGATGCAAGATCTTTGAGGATTAAGCTCCAGATGGCAGAGAGATTGTGCTTTCATCAATAAACTGAACAGTAAATCACATTTCAAACTTTAGTCTAAAGCCGATTTTAGTATTTAATTGTAACTCTCTCAGTCATTCGCAGCGTTAGCTGCAAGTAGTATATGAAATAGCACCTGCAGCACTTATGGGATAAATCATTTCAGAGTTGCCACTTGCTTCAGAACGATCCGTTAATATTCATTCATTTGATTCATCTTGCACTCATTCGCTCACCCAGCCACTCATTCACCCGTCCATTCGCTCACTCATTCAATCATCTACACATCCAGTCATTCATTCACTGATTTCTGAGAAACCAATCCCATTGGAGGTTTCATGGCCTCAGCCTTCCTACAATGAGGCAAACTCTACAGCATATAATTTTAACCGCAAAACTGCTCTTTATTCAGTGTACCAAGGACACATCAGTCTGTCAGTGGGACCCTTATTAACTGACTTTCGGAGTTGACCTTTGTTAGCTTTGGTAATGTTTCTTTCGGTATCCTGATTGCATGACTAAACATCACCATAATTCTGATCACCTGATCTGAAGAAAGAACAGCTATTATCTCGGATGACCGTGTTCTGAACCTCGTCGAACCTCGTCAGTTTAACAATCCTTCGACTAAATCATGATTTCTGGAGATG